GAACCCAGCCCCCTTGTGCTGTGTCCTGACAACCTGACCCCTGCAGGGGAGCCAGGTGATTCTCCCTCCCCCTGATCTTGGCCCCACCTGTGCCCCAGCCACTCCATCCCTCCCCCACCCACTGAGCAGGGCAAGCTCTATCTACATCAGGAGTTCTCCCCCTCTCCTCCTCTAATAACTCTGCCTGGGTACTAGGATCCCGAACACACTTCTACAGCTCCATTTCCCCCATTAGCCTTTGTCTGTGCACTAGCCCTCTCATTGTTTCCCCATCTTTCCAGTTTCTGGGGAGAGGACCCTTTCATCCCACTTATTCCCTTTGTCTGAGGAAGGGGAACTCGGGTGTTCCCAGTGCCCGTGTCCCTGCGTCCCTTCCTGTCTGGGGCAGGAGAGCTTTATTACAATTGGAATTGTGATCCCATTTAAATAGGCTTTGTTTTAAATAATATACCTTTAAAATTAAATTAAAAATTGTTATGGCCTAAATTTATCATAACCTATTTAAATAACTTATGAGTTAAATTTAAAAATTAAATAGAATATGTCTCCTGCCAACTTTTAAAGAAATTCTACCAGTTCATTAGTGTAAGTTGCTGTGTAAGCATCCGGAACCATGTTTACATCAGCAGTAGCTTCTTCTGCAGGTGAAGAGAGAGAATGTTTTTATCACTTTGGTTTATTCAGCTAGTTCAGTTCAATGATTAGTTCATTCACTGTTGTAAAACCAAGAGTTGACAAAGCAGAAAAACTTGTTTTCCTCTTCTCTCAGTAAAAAACTGGTTATGAGAGCATTCTAACATTTTGAAGAACATGATGACTAGAAATGATCAGTTAAATTTACTATGGATATTTCCTTTGTTTAATAAATGAATTTTGGATGCAAAATGTGTTTGGATACTTTTTTGTTATGTATCCTTCACATTTAAGGTAGTTTTATTTCATACAAAAATTAAATGCTGGTTTTGTTTGTTTTAAATTGAATTTCTGTTCAGACAGAAATAGATGCAAATAATATGTTTAGAAAAAAGTAGCCACCACTTAGCAAATAATAAATGGGGTAAAACCTGGCTCTTAAGTGTTCCTATTACAAAATGGTGTGCAATAGAATAAAAATTAAGACTCTGATTACATGACTGTGATTACATGTAAGTTACACATTTATTTGGGCATTTATTTAGTTGGTAGCTGTACTGAGTGTGTTCTCCTGGTTAGTAAATAGAAGCAACAAATTTGGCATAAAGGTTATATTTAGTTGTAAATCAACATGTTTTAAAGGTTGCTAATCAATGAGACTTAACCATCCTGTAGGAAAATATTTTTAAAGTATAATTTAAATGATTGATGCTCATTTAAACCAAGGTTTTCTGCTTGCTGGTTTAAATCATGATTAAAATTAGAGATCTAAATTAAAGCTATATAAATCAATCCACCCTACTTCAGAGGCTGTTCGGTTTGTCCCTGAAGGAGAAAGCACAGTGCTGCACTTGTGGAATAGGTCCTAGGCTAGTGGTGTTTTGTTCTGGTGCTTGTCTTGTTCTGGACAGTTGAGCTGGGAAGTTGAAACAAAAGTTCTCTTAATCCCTTTGAACTGTCTCATAGTATAGTGAGGCTGATTCTTGTCCATGGACACCAAAAGTTGGACAGCTTATGTGTTGGGGTTGGAGTCTGAGTGATGATAAGGCTTCTAATAATAACATCCCTTTGCAGAGTGAGGAGTGGAACTGGGATTCCAGCACTGGGTGATGAGAACAGCTGCATGCTTTGGAAGTCTTTAACAGACTTGCTGTTGATGAACCTGCACTCTCATTGTCCTCACATGGGGACAAACTTGGGCCTTTAGTCTCCAGGATGTGTGGTCGGTCGCTAATGGTGTCTCCCTGTTCAGCAGCAGCAATCCACCTGCATGCCTGGAAACACGTCATCTGTTCAGACGTGCACTGTCTCCTGTTATTGCAGCGTCTGGTACAGAAATTATCCCTTTTCAAACACCTGGTGCAGCACCAAGGACACATGTCATCTGTGCATAGCAAATCTGAATTGAATCAGGGCCAGTTTTCCCTTCAGCTTCACCCGCTGAGCCAAATGGAATCACGATAGTGCTGAATTTGACCCATTATCTGTATAGAAAGGTGCTTAAAAGGCTCCCATGTTAACTCCTTCAGCCCTGGCACCTGACGGATGTCACTTTCTCAGACAGTGACTTGACTTCCCGACATCTCTCTGATTGTTGAGATCTCCAGAGTATAATGGGGATACATAAGAGCTGGGTTTTACCCCAAATGCCCCCTCCTCACACTAGGAATGTAATGGTGTAGTCGATTAATGGACAAGCAAAAACTTATAGGTTAATGCTATTGCCTACATGCATTCTCTCCCTCCTCCCCCGCCAGTAAATTTTTTTTAGCAGGCTGGCCAGCAGCCCAACTCATCCCCAGCTTGCACTGGGTCCTGGACCTATCCCTGTTGTGGCTCTGCATTTAAAGTGTGTTAGGAGCCAGGTGGGCAGGCTGCCCAGCTCCGTTCTGGTGGCTTGTGCCGGGTCTGGGAGCTCAGACACCTCCCCCCAGGACAGCTGTCTGGGAGCAATAGAATAGTCAACTAACCGATAAGAATTCACGAGGTTAATTGACTATTCAATTAACAAGTATTTAACATCCCTACCTCACACCCTAACCCTGTTGCCTTCCATTCCAGAGGTGGCTGTATGTCAGCGGTGCTGTGAGTATATGGTTTGTAAAGTATTGGGGGTTCCTTCTATTAAAAAGCCCCCCCCCCCCCCAGTCTGCAGGCATCAGTAGGGTACATATCGGAGCCAGGCGATGTACAGAACTAGAAAGAGTGGTGGTTGTATGGCGGCGGTTACAGTCTAACAAGTAATTCAGAGTTTGCGATGTTTTTCATATGGACACTCTCACTCTGGAACTTTGGTCCCATCTTCATTCTAAAATTTGTTGTGTTGTCCAGAGCTCCTTGATGCTACACCTATTCAAATACGCAGTCGTCAGAAGAGCAGCCGATAGAGGAGCTTGTGAGTGAATGTAGGGAAGGTAAAAAGTTTGTTTCTCTATTTACAGCTGTCCCTTCCTTGCCAGTCACCTGACCCTGGCCATTCCCATCATCGGGGGTGTCCTGTTCTTCTTTGTCATCAGCTGTCTGCTGCAGACGAGCTTTAGAGACCCGGGTATCCTGCCCAGAGCCACCCCCAGTGAGGCTGCTGACCTGGAGAAACGGATCGGTGAGCCTTTATCTTGTGCATTTACTGTAATTTGTGTGTGCATGTTTTAGACAAAGCTAATTCTTTAAGATGGAGGTCCCTCTCTTGGGTCTTGGCACCTTAGCGATAGACGGGGAAGGTTTTTGTGGGAGATGAGGCAAATGGTGTTTGGAGTAGAGTCTGACCTGTCTGGTGCTATCAGGCTGAGCCCCAAAACTGAATATCTTCAGAGATGTACAGTCTTAAGAGAGGTAGCAGTGTTAGTCTGTTTCAGCAAAAACAAGGAGTTCAGTGGCACTTTAAAGCCCAGCACGTTTATTAGAGTATAAGCTTTCGTGAGCTACAGCTCACACTCTCAGGTGCCAGAAAGAAAAAGAAAAAAAGTTACAGAAATGGCTGACACACCCACCTCTGTGTCCTTTTTTGCTGCTGTTGTTGTCTTTTCAGAGATGTAGAATTAGAAAAAAAATTATTCTATTTAAAACTGCGATTCCCAAATGCTTTTGGTCACCTGTACCAATTTGCCAGATTACATCTGTCCCAAACACTGTAGTCCGCTCTGTATCCTCTTCCTGCCCTGGAGTTCAGCTCGCTACTTGCTTCCTAATTATGGATGTAAAATCCCATTTAATTGGTTAAACATTATGTCCAACCGGTTAACCACTTAAATGGGGGAGGGTGGGACTGTTCTGGGCTGGAGCAGCCCTCACCAGTTACCATGCACATCCCCATTTCCCATGCGGAGAGTTTGTAGCAGATTTCAATGTGCACAGCTACAAGGAAGTGGCCCAGCACAAAGATTAATTGAGAGAGACACCTTGGTTTAGCATTATGGGAAACCTTCAGTTTAGAGGGACTGCATACTATGCTCTTACATACTGTGCTATTACTCACATCCTAGACTGTGGTGTAGAGAGAGCGGGTGAAGAGAGAGGGGTTCTAGTTCAGATAACAGTTGTTGAAGTACAGGGCTGGGACTGGCAAAATCCTGAGTTCTAGTCCTGGTTAGGAAACTTGCTTTCTGTGCCTTTGAGGAAATCAATTCACTGCTGCTTCACTTTCACTTTCTCCATCTGTAAAATGGGTATGATACCAACCTCCCTTCTTCTCAGGGTTTCAGTGAGGATTAATTAGATACCATTTGTGAAGCTGTTTGAACACAAAGCATTCTGTGTAAGTGCTAAGAATTTGTGCTTATTCCTTTAAATGGCAGGATATATGATAGCACAGATGTTTTCACCTTGGCTGGTAGGCCTAATCTTAGCATGTGTTGAGTAAGCTCTTCAAGCACTGCTTATGTTCTGATAGAAAATCTGGACAGGAGCAGAAAGAAACCAAGCCCTTGTTTTGTTTTTGACTGTGATAGTTACATTTGTTTTTGATGACTAGAACTGGGTACTGAAACCAAGTTCTGGACAATGCTGCAGGCCACATCCAGAGCCTCTGAGACCAGTTCCACTGGCTTTTGTGTCTGACATCTTTGGGGGCAGGGGAAAAACTCTCATGTGGGCCTATTGGAAAAGCCTATCATGTGAAGAAAATGGGGTGAGTGTGTTAGTGCAGAGAACATCCCCATGTGTTACCCAAGTGCAAAGCATCTTGCTGAGACACTTGACAGCTTTTGTGTATTTCGGAGCAGACTGATTAAACCACAAGAAATCTCTGCTCCTGTTAAGATGCAGACAATGGGGATTGACACCAGATTATTTTGCCTAAAAAGGCATTTAGACCCCGCTTCTCTGCTAGTTCCCAAAGGCTGGGTGTCTCATTCAGTTAATTAGAATGCACTTGTAAAATAGTGCTGGGTAGGCCCAGTTGTGACTGCGGACGCTTGAGCAGAGGGGAGCTGTTCTATACAGACTGTTCCTGTTTACATAGTGCTGGTAAATAAAATCCGTGTACTTGTACATATCTGTAGGCTGTGGTTTTCAAAGCAACTTGAGGGTATGTCTACACTGGCTCCCTAGTTCGAGCTAGGAATGCAAATGTAGCCGACCGAAATTGCTAATGAAGTGTGGGATTTAAATATCCCGTGCTTCATTAGCATAATCTCACCCACGCATTATTCCACTCAACACCTGATTCGAACCAGGAAGTGTGCTCTGGGACGCGTTAGTTTGAATCAAACCCCTTGGTTCAAACTAACGTTACTCCTCATTTTTGAATAACGTGTGGGCGAGATTATGCTAATGAAGCGCAGGATATTTAAATCCCGCGCTTCATTAGCAATTTCGGTCAGCTACATTTGCACCCCTAGCTTGAACTAGGGAGCGAGTGTAGACATACCCTGAGAGAGTGTGTCCACTTTCTGTTGATTTTCAGTGGGAATTTGGTACTTAATTCTTTAGGTTTATTTAATAATCTCAGCCTTAGTATCACTGAAGCACATCCTCTCTAAATCCAGTGCTAACAAACTCTACTCATCACTCTCTCACCCAGCTGCTCTTGTTACCTACCCACTCTCTGATTCCCCATTTGTCTGGCCCTTTTTTATGAACTCAGGAATAGGTGGCTTATTCCAGAAACAGATTTGCAGACTAGATACTGAGCTCCCAGGCCAAATGACGTGATGCCTTCTTATTGTGTTGCCAAACGAAGAGCTAACATAGATGGGTCAGGGAGTCCATCGTGTAGTCCTAATGCAATTTATTAATGAATTTGAAACAGTCGTTCTAGCTGCACCCAGCAGAATCTTCCTCTCGATTGGAAGGGACTTAAAATCTGTGGAGAGAGCTTGTGTTTACACTTGGCATTTATCCCCCAGATTGTTAATTAGGGAATTAGTATTTCTGGGGGCTACTAGCCACTGGCCTTGTAGGACTCTTGGATTCATAGCTCATCACAGCTCTTGTAAGAGGTGTTTGTCTGTTTTGATGGCTATGTGACAGTAAGTTTGTGTGTTCGGACAACATGGCCTGCTTCTAGAACAAATGCTCTAGCAAAACTACTAAGAGACTTCTGGAGTGTGTCACTATTGGAAATCATTATAGGGGAAAAAAAGGTCTGTCTAAACCCAGATAACCATGTTGTGGGAGGTCTTTAAACTAGCTAGCTGTTGGTTCACTTTGTTTCAAAATCCCTACAGCCCACCGCAGGGGCTACCTGCCATGTCAGCCATTGCTTGTAAGAGAAAATGAATGGGCTGCATTAACATGCCTGAGTCTGTCAAACCAAGTTTTTGAAGCCTTCATAAAAGCATGAGGCGCCCTCTGTGTTGTGATATCAAAGGGCTTATTTTTTTAGAAAAGTGACATGCATGAATGTTTAGAGCTGTCCTTCCCACCACTGTGTCCACCCAGCTCAGCACCCTCTGGCTACATGCACAAATAAGTCTTCAAGATGTGGCCTTGTCAGAGGGAATACATTCCTCCTCGAGGCCCCATGCTCCTGAGCCCCAAGATTCCCCTAGCTGCTGGAGCCCAGAGCAGCCCATGTCTCTCTCTCCCCTGTCCCCCACCTGGCCAGCTGGCTGACTCAGCCCAGCCCCTGGTTTCAGGCCAACCTAGTCCAGATCAATGGCGTGAGCTGAGCTCCTGCCAGCTTTAGGGGATGGGGAGCCAGGGCAGGGTCTCCCATGACTGTGCTCCCAAAGGCTACTGCTCCTTACCTGTAGCTGTGCTGCGGGTGCACAGACCAGTTGAAAGCACATCGTATGTGTTAACATCTTGTTACTTCCTTTGGTTGAGAGCTGTTGGAGAGGAGCTTGGCTTCCTTCCTCTGCGCTCTAAAGACGAGTTAGTGTGAGTGGCTGTTCTCGTGCTGACTGTGTACATGGTGCCTCCAATTTTCCAAGCCTTTCCATCCCTTTCGGTAGCCCTGCGAGGCGGATCAGTGTCATCCCTGTGGGACACAGATTAGGTTAACACTCTGAGAAATGGCCAGAGCTAAGATTAAAGCCCTGGAAGTCCTGGCTCCCCATCTTGAGCTCAGTCCCCTAAGCCAGTGGTTTTCAAATGACGGGTCGTGACCCAGGACTAGGTGGGAGAATGTCAGGCCCTGGGTCTCTTTGCTGCACGGGGGTTTCAGGTGAGCAGTGGAGGGCTAAGGCAGCTCCCTGCCTGTCCTGCACCACAGACTGCGCTATGCCCCAGAAGCAGCCAACAACAGGCTTTGGTCCTAAGTGGGGGGTGAGGGGCTCCTCGCACTGCCCTACCCCGAGCACTAGCTCCGCACTCCCAATGACTAGGAACTGGCTGCTTCTGGGGCGCAGCATGTTCTGCAGTGCCAGGAGAGGCAGGAAGTTGCTTTAGCGCACCCCTGCTGCATCGCTGCCTGGGAGCCACTCCAGGTAAGCCCCTCCTGCCCCAGCCCTGATCCTCCGCGAGCCAGAGCCCCTTCCCATACCCCAAACTCTCACTCTCAGCCCCACCCCGGAGCCCACGCTCCAGTCACATCGTATTGGGTCGTGGCATCAATGATTTCCTCCAACTGAATCATGAGGGAAAAAAGTTTGCAAATGGCTCTAGGTCACGCTGCATCTCCGGCTTTCAGCACGATCCTACCACTCCGAGCTCTGTCACCCAAGAGGAGCACGGCCTCTGTGGCTGGGCCTATGTGAGCCGGACTCCCTGCTTCACTCTCACTCCACAGATAGCATGGGCACGTCCACCTACCGCCCGCCCGCCCGCACCATGGAAGTGGTTATAAACAAATATGTGGTGAAACTGAAGTACTGTTACACCTGCAAAATGTTCCGGCCCCCCAGGACCTCTCACTGCAGTGTCTGCGACAACTGTGTAGGTAAGTCCCAGGGGCTCGGGCGCAGGTGACATCTCCATAGATAAATGTGGTCCCAGTTTGAGTTCTTAAGGAAAACCTTTCCGCCTCACCATACAGGGCCCTTCTGCCCCGTGTGCTAGATGGGAGGGGGAGCTGGAGGCTAAATGACGGAGTGAACAAAAGGGTCGAGGAGATCCAAACTTGCAGGTGTGAGAGGGACTGGCATGCAGCAGGGCAGTAAGGTTCACACTTAGGCCAGTGTCTCTGGAAGAGCCGTTTAAGAGGCTGTCAGTCGGGCAGACAGATGTGCAGGAGTGTAGGTGAATGGTAGGTCCACTTGGCGTCCTCTTGTTACTTCATTAATTGTCAGCCTCTCTGAGTACAGCCTTCCCTCCCAGTCCACATATGACATTAGCAGTTGTGGATGCTGAACAGCCTGGGACTGATGAGATCACTGACCTCAGAAGTGCCACAAAAGATCACGGTCACCTGTCTAAAGAGGATGGCTCAGACAGGGAGTTTGAGGAGCTACTGAGCAGCTTTCAAGGATGAGGCATGACAGCTGTGGGAGTCGCTCGGTAGCATGGGGTGCAGCCTCACCCAGTTTTGTCAGGCCTGAGCTGTACTTAACCTCCGGGATGCTTCAGCTTTTCATAGCTAGCAAGCTGCCTTTTGGACCAAAGCCTCGGTGTAAGATTAAGCAGTGCTGTTCTGCTAGAGTTGCAGTTTTGTGGGTGAGACCTCAGTGGCAGGGCTTGTCAGCTTGTGGTTACAAAAGATGGCTTGGTACTTGTGTGTGTTTTCCCAAGAGTAGGAGTGTTAATCCATGTTGGCAACATTTCAGCATTTGGGTCATTTCATTCTACAGTCCTGTGGTTTTAACTGGGTAGGTTACTCTTCACGTCCTGCGTTAAACTCTTTGGTAAAGTTACCATGAGCCGTGAAAGAGTTGATATGTTCTACCTCCGAGGTGGCTGCATTTCCCTGGTGGTTAAAGTTTTGCCTGTAGTGCTACTCTTGTTGTCTGCCCGCTTGAAATCTAGTGAGTCAGAAGTATTTTCAGGTATAGGCATCTGCCCTGGGTTGCTTTTGTGGCTTTAAAATCAAATTTTCCTAACTTTAAAATGCTTTTTCTATCCACATGGGGAGGGAAAACTGATCAATGCAGGGGCAATGAGTCCCCACAGTTCTGTCACATGTACAGAGTGAAGGAAGAGACATGCATTCCCTCTGGCTACGTCTAGACTGGCATGATGTTCCAGAAATGCTTTTAACGGAAACATTTTCTGTTAAAAGCATTTTCGGAAAAGAGCGTCTAGATTGGCAAGGACGCTTTTCCGCAAAAAGTGCTTTTGCGGAAAAGCGTCCGTGCTAATCTAGATGCGCTTTTCCGCAAAAAAGCCCTGATCGCCATTTTTGCGATCGGGGCTTTTTTGCGGAAAACAAATCTGAGCTGTCTACACTGGCCCTTTTGCGCAAAAGGACTTTTGCCTGAACGGGAGCAGCATAGTTTTACCGCAAGAAGCACTGATTTCTTACAGTAGGAAGTCAGTGCTTTTGCAGAAATTCACGCGGCCAGTGTAGACAGCTGGCAAGCTTTTCTGGAAAAGCGGCTGATTTTCCGGAAAAACTGGCCAGTCTAGACACAGCCTCTTTGTAATGCCTTTCAGGTTTAGTAATTGTTGGTATTAGGATCAACTAGTCTTCCCTTTAAGCTGCGGGGGCAGCACCGTTGGTATTAGGATCAACTAGTCTTCCCTTTAAGCTACGGGGGCAGCACAGCTTCACAGGTGACTAATCAGGCCTGCCCAGTCAGTCAGCTCCACTCTGACTGGGCGGGGCTGATCAATCACCTGTGAAGCTGTGCGGTTTAGAGGGAACCCTGCGAGCAGCCACAGGTAGTGAGGACAGTATTTGGGTGAAAGTGATTTTAAGGCTGGTGTCCTTTGAAAGGTAAAGAAGGGCACATGTACCGATTGCGAAGTACAGTCTACGTATAGTGAGGCTGTCCTATTGGTCAGTTTCTGGACTGAAATCTTAGGCTGGCAGGGTGGGACGAAGGGCTGGCTTGCAGTCCCAGGGGTCCCTGCGGCTCTGCAGCATTCACCCCAGGGGTGGGGCGTGGGGAGCAAGACGTTCTAATGCCCTTTCCTTGCTGCCTGGTTTCAGAGCGGTTTGATCACCACTGCCCGTGGGTGGGCAACTGTGTGGGGAAGCGCAACTATCGCTACTTCTACGCCTTCATCCTCTCCCTCTCCTTCCTGACGGCCTTCATCTTCGCTTGTGTCATCACCCATCTCACGCTGCGTAAGTACTGCAGGCGGTAGGGGGAACCCCTGCCTCACCCTCCTGGCTGGGCGAACTTGGGCACCTGGGTTAGCACGTGGGGAAGCAGCTTCTAAGTTTGCATATGACTCGGTGACAGATCAGGAGATTCAGGGCTTTGCACTGCTCAGTCGTCTGAATGAAGCAGCTTGAGAGCTGCAGAAGGGAACTGTAACTCCGCGTGCAGCGGCAGTCAGAAAGCAAATAGAAGGTTGAGAATCATTGAAAAAGGGATAGAGATTAAGACCAAGAATATCTTATTGCCTCTATATAAAACCATGGTACGACCGCATCGTGAATACTGTGTACAGATGTGGTCGCCTCATCTAAAAAAATATATATTGGCATTGCAAAAGGTTCAGAAAAGGGTAACAAAAATGCTTTGGAACGGGTCCCATATAAAGAGAGATTAAAAAGACTTGGACTTTTCAGCTTAGAGGAGACTAAGGGAGGATATGATAGAGATCTGTCAAATCATGACTGGGGTGGAAAAAGTGAATAAGGAGAAGTTATTCCCACAATATAAGAACTAGGGGTCACCAAGTGAAATTAATAGGCAGCAAGTTTAAAACAAACAAAAGGAAGTTTTTTTTCATGCAGCACACCGTCAACCTGTGGAACTCCTTGCCAGAGGATGTGGTGAAGGCTAGAACTTTAACAGGGTTCAAAAAAGAGCTAGATAGATTCATGGAGGTTAGGTCCATCAATGGCTATTTGCCAGGATGGGTAGGAATGGTGTCCCTAGCCTCTGTCTGACAGGAGAGGGATCAGTGATGATTACCTGTTGTGCCCTCCCTATTGGACATCTGGCATTGGCCACTGTGGGCAGACAGGACACTGGGCTAGATGGACCATTGGTCTGACCCAGTCTGGCCATTCTGATGTTCTTACATTCTAACTCTGAGAGCTTTGGCGAGAGGGTTACCGCCTGCCAGTAGCAAGTAGGGTACAGCCTGTGTCAGGGCTGCAGCGGGCTGGTGGTGTCTGGGCACACTGCCTTTATGCTTAGGAATGGCTCTGGTAGAAGACAGCTTGGGCTTTCAGCCCCTGAGCCTCTCCGAGCGCTCGCTGCGAGCCACGGTTTTTTTTTGTTTTTGTTTTTTAAGGAGCTAGACGGGGGCAGATCCATGTGGCCTTCTGGGCTGCGTGAAGCCAGACAAATTGGCTGGCGATGTAAATGTGCCTTCTTGAGCAGAGCATCTTGTCCTGTTTGCTTTGCAGGCTCTCAGGGAAATGGATTCCTCACCACTTTGAAGGCAACACCAGCGAGATATCCTTTTAGAGCCTGCTTCTTCCCATCCACTCCCCTCCCTGTGCGTTGACGCAGCTGGATCCCTGCAGGGGATAGGAGGAGAAACACCACAGCTGTAGCTCTCTGGAAGGGGTTCTGGCTTACAACATACAATAAGCCCCTTTTCTCCGATTATCTCTGTGTGCTTTAGAAGCCCTAATGCACATGGTCTCCTCCCCCCCGGGCAGAGACGGGCAGATGTCTCTGCATTCCCGTGCGGAGGTACAGATCCTGTAGCCCAGCTGGTGAGACAATCTCTTTCCAGTTGCCAGAGCAGACCCCTGTGCTCGGGGATGACAGACAAGGGTTAGAGGCAAGCTTGCTTTCCGACGCGTGGGAGAGGACAGCGAAAAGGGGAGGGATGTCTCTGCATTAGGCAGAGTGAGTTCTCCCTTGATGGAAACTCGAAGAATAGCCTGGGAGGTGTAAAGGAAGTCACATGCTTGCTTTGTCAGCTGGAATGCCCCCTCCTTGCTCGCGAGGGCATGGCCCCTTTCCCTAATGGAAGGGATAAGGAGGAGAGACTATTTCCTTGCTAGAAGTCTGTCAGCCTCTCTAAAGCAAGGGAACCGTGCTGAGGCCTTCATGACCCTCCCTAAGTTCCTGGCCTTGTCCCCCCGCCCTCCCGAGTCCTCACAGTTGCTGTGAATGTCTCCAGTGACTAACTGCTCCGTTACTGGGCTGAGGGGCCCCTTTCCCTAATGGAAGGGATAAGGAGGAGAGACTATTTCCTTGCTAGAAGTCTGTCAGCCTCTCTAAAGCAAGGGAACCGTGCTGAGGCCTTCATGACCCTCCCTAAGTTCCTGGCCTTGTCCCCCCGCCCTCCCGAGTCCTCACAGTTGCTGTGAATGTCTCCAGTGACTAACTGCTCCGTTACTGGGCTGAGGCTGTGTGTGTGTGTATGTGTGTGTATATATATATATATATATATAAAAGATCGTCCATTCAGTTACCAGGTCTTGGCCCCAGTATCAGCATTCAACTTTTT